ACTTGCCCAGGAAAGGGCTGAGCACGGGAGAAGATTCTGACCAAGACATTTCTTGTCTTGGTTTCCGAGGGCCCTTTCCTGTCTCCCCACACTGGCCCTTGTCTTTGTCTGGGTTACTCACATTCCGGAAGCGCTCATGTGGCACTAAATATTCCTAGGACTCCAGCATTCTCCCCTGGGGCCCAGCGTCATCTCTCGGAGTCTGCTTCTGGAATGTTTTTGGTATGAAGCTTCGTGGCAGGTGAGGGGAAGGGCCGTGCCGCGTGGGATCCACAGCCCGAGTCTAGGTCTCTGTAGGGCTGGGGTAATAGGTATTCTCTATCCACCCAGACTCTCCTTCCCTGGCAGGCTTCCCCCACATCGCCCCCTCTGCCGGTGAGTCCTCCCAGCCCCTGGTTTAGAAGGGGTTAAGCAAACAGGTCACTAGGAGGACAGCTATCTCAGGATCTTTAAGTCCCTTCTCCACTGAAATGCCAGCTTCCCCCCTGCTGAGATAGTGCTAATGGGATGAGGCAGCAGGGACTAGGGCCTCCTTCTCCCCCATTTCCTTTATGTGGCTGCCCTTCCTGCCAGTCCCTCCCCTCACTTTAGCTTCTCCTTGTTCCCACTCACCCTCTTCTTTCCCAGCTTCCTTTGGGGCTTGTAGAGGTAAGGGGAAGACATTTTTGTAGGAGGAACTACTATATACCTCCTGCTTGGGAAAGAGCCTGGCATGTAATAAATGCTCAATAAATATTTGTAGTTCCATTCACTTATATTCTTGGTCTCAACTCTCCAACCCAATCCAGATAAAATGTACCCTCTCACCCCAGCCCACTAAGATTTGGCATCCCACAGACCTGGATTTGAGATCTGGTTTTCCCACTTGCTAAGTAGGCAAGTTATTTAATGTTTTTGAGTCTTAATTTCCTCTTCTGTCACACGAGAATGATGAAAATTGTATAAAATGAAATAACACAACCCAGTGCTTGATGCATAAACACTGGTAGCTCCTATTATTTTTTGAAATATATTTTTGTTGATTTCAGAGAGGAAGGGAGTGGGAGAGAGATAGAAACATCAATAGTGAGAAAGAATCATTGATCGGCTGCCTCCTGCATGCCCCTCAATGGGGGATCAAGCCTGCTACCCAGGCATGTGCCCTGACCTGGAATCGAACCATGTCCTCCTGGTTCATAGGTCAATGCTCAACCACTGAGCCATGCCAGCTGGGCTATAAACCCTATTATTATCTCCTAAGTTTCAGTTCTTTTTTCCATTATTCAAAGTCCCCTTCCACATTCTCTGAACTCACAATTTCTCTGTTGAATTCTACTTATTTTTAAAAATCATTCTTGTTTTTCAATTACAGGCAACATATCTATATATATAAAAGGCTAATATGCAAAGTGTCCCCTTGGGAATTCAATCAGGAGACTGGGAGTTCGATCACTCACTATGATGTGTGCTGACCACCAGAGAATGGTGTGGAATGAAGAAGGCCTCAGCTGGCAGCAGAAGGCCCAATCGACCCTGATCACCGGCCAGGCCTAGGGACCCGACCCGTGCACGAATTTTGTGCACTGGGCCTCTATTAATATTATATTAGATTCAGGCGTGCACTACAGTGATTAGACATTATACAACTTACTAAGTGATTATGCTGATAAATTTCATACTCATCTAACACTATACATAGTTACTAGAATATTGTTTTTTAAAATACATTTTTATTGATTTCAGAGAGGAAGGGAGAGGGGGAGAGAGATAGAAACATCAATGATGAGAGAGAATCATTGATCAGCTGCCTGCTACACTCCCCACACTGGGGATCGAGCCCACAACCCAGGGAATGTTGAGAAATCAACTGACAGTCTAATGGGAGCTCCCCTGTAGATAATTAACTGGTTTTGCTGCTTTTAAGATTCGCTCTTTGTCTTTAAACTTTTGCATTTTAATTATGATGTATCTTGGTGTGGGCCTCTTTGGGTACATCTTGGACTCTCTGTGCTTCTTGAACTTGTATGTCTATTTCCTTCACCAGGCTAGGGGAGTTTTCTGTCATTATTTTTTCAAACAGGTTTTTAGTGTCTTGCTCCCTCTTCTTCCAGCACCCCCATGATGCAAATGCTGGTATACTTGAAGTTGTCCCAGAGGCTCCTTACACTGTCCTCATTATTTTTTGGTGGCGGTGGTGGGGGGTGTTGGGGGGGGCGTAGTTTTTACTTCCTTACATTCCAAATTGCTGATTTAATTCTTGGCTTCATCTACTCTAATGTTGATTTCCTGTAAATTATTCTCTATTTCAGTTTATGTCTCCTTCATTTCTGACTGGTTCTTTTTTATGGTTTCCATGTCCTTTTCTATGCTGTTGAAGTTCTCACTAAGTTCATTGAGCATCCTTATAACCAGTGTTTTGAACTCTGCATCTAGTAGATTGCTTATCTTCATTTTGTTTAGTTCTTTTTCTAAAGTTTTGTTCTGTTCTTTCATCTGGGACATGTTTCTTTTCTCCTCATTTTAGCTGCCTCCCTGTGTTTGTTTCTAGGTATTAGGTAGAGCTGCTATGTCTCCCAGACTTAGTAAAGTGGTTTAATGTAATAGGTGTCTTGTAGGGTCCAGTGTTCAGCCTCCCTGGGCACTCCAGGTATATCCTTCCCCCCACCCCATGTGAGCTGTGTAAACCCTCTTATTGTAGTTGAGTTTTGATTAATGTTGGCATGTTAGGGGGAGGGATTTACCCCCGGGCCAATCGGCTGCAAAAACTGGCTGTGACTACTGACCACCAACCTCCAAAGAGAATCAACTATGCAGGGGCCACTCCACAGGGCACAGAGCTGGATTTACTTGAGCAGTGCTCTGGTGCCTGCTGAGTCTGCCTCTTGAGTGTGTCACTTGTGGAGATAATTGGGTGATGCTCCAAAGCTGCCCACCAGGTGCACTAGCTTTTGGGCCTCCTGGAATGTGCAAGCCAAGGTTAGCTGCTGCCTGTGTTCTGACTGAGGTCACCTTGGAGGTGCCCAGGTGAGGCTCAAGGCTGTGAACCAAGTCCAGCTGCTGCTAGTGCCAGGCCTGGGGCCACTTAGTGAGAGGTATAGGGAACACTGAGGCCAGATGCTGCTTGTTTGAGAGATTTTAGGAAAGTCTGAAGCATGAGCCAAGACAGGCCATTTGTATTGAAAAGCCACCGGTGGGCACCCAAGTTGGCTGGGGCAGGTTCTCTGGGAATCACCAGGGCAGAGTGAACAGTGTGATCCAGGTTGATGGAAACTCAAATATGGTGCCCAACTGCTGGCTCTAGAGGGGTACTGGAGGGTGCGGTCTCTAGAAAGGAACAATGGCCTCTGCCAGCACTTTTGTCGGCAGAAAGATGCTCCCCTCCAGCTTCCCCCTGATGCCAGACAATTGAGTTCCCCCCTATATGTTACGGGTGCCTTTTGAGTTGCTGCCCTGGTGCTGGAGCTCAGAGGGAGTGAGTCTGAATAAGTCTGTGTGTAGGCCCTTTAAGAGAAACTGCCTGGGACTCCAGATGTCCTCCGTCTCACTCAGTTACAATCCCTGCTGAGTTTTATAGCCAGAAGTGATGGGGACTTCTCTTCCTGGTACTGGAACCCTGGGCTGGGGGGGCCTGATGTGGGGCTGGGACCACTCACTCCTCAATTTTTATCCATCACACATGGGTATGGGACCAGCCCGTTCTGTTCTCCGCCCTCCTACCCAGTCTCAGTGTGGTTTCTTCTTTAATTCCCTAGTTGTCAGACTTGAATTCAGCCCGATTTCAGGCAGTTCTGAAAGATGGTTGTTCTGTAGTTTAGTTGTAATTTTGATGTGGTTGTGGGAGGAGGCGAATGTCATATTTACCTACACCACCATCTTGACCAGAAGTCCGAATTTTACTTATTTTTACACGTGCCACCTTGCTGTCCAATCTGCAGCCTCCTTGAGGCTAAGAAACATCAATGGTGAGAGAGAATGATCTTACGCATTGCACCAGAGATACAGCAATAACCTTTGTCTCCACAAACCTTAGTAGAGAATAGGGCTGATTCCTAAGCTGGATGAATAAAGGAGACAGCCAACGCTGCAGCTGAACTCTATGCTTCTTGAGTGAAAAAACCCTCCCTTATATTTTCTCGGGGTTCACCGGAGTTTATAGCCCAGAGCTCCAGTCCTCAGTAGGACTTTGAAAATATCGACTGAAATACTCCAGTTGTAGTTTGAGCAATTTCTTGTTTGCTCTAGCATCTTGCCCCATACTTGCCTGGACACCTCACTTATTCCCCAGACCCAGCAACTTCGCAGAGAAGGGGAGGGAAGATCACGAGGCTCCACCCTAGAGCAGGTGTGCTGTGGAAAGGGCGCTGCAGCTGGCTGGGACTGGGATGCCGTTGGGGGTAGGGCGTAGGGCATCGGGAGGGAGCCTGCTTGAAGCAAGAGCCTTCCGGCTGCTTGCCTGCACTTTGTCCTCATTCTCCCTTTCATCCCAGTCCTCGTGGAACCCTGGAGTTTCTCAAAGGAGCAGAGCGGGCTGGGAATGCTCTGCTGGGGGTTGAAGGACAGCCTTCAAGGGGGGGCATTCCAAGCATTCTTTATTTCACTAGGGGTCAGGCGGTGGGGGCAGAGTGGAGAGCCCGCCCAACACTGAGTCAAGGGGATTTCTTTGGAGAGAGAATAAAGGCAGTGGGGGTGTCTTCAAGCAGCAGGGGACAGAACTGGGTGGGGGAGGGGTGGAAGAAGAGGCAGAGAAGGCTGGGGGCAGGGCTGGACCATCAGCCGAGCCCAGTTCTCCCTTTAGCGCCAACGACAGGAAGAGCAAATTGGGACCCTCAGCCCAGGGCCCCTGCACCCGCGTGTTGAACAGGGCAGAACACGAATGCAGGTGTATCAAGGAGCTTTTGGGAGCTACAGCTGGGTGTTTGTTCTTGGCTTGTTTTTATGAAGCAGCTTCTCTATTTCTTAGCAGGAGTGTGTTAAGGCTCAAAGATCTGCGCCCACCTCCTCAAACAGAACAACAGAGGCTGTTTCCAGTCGCCGTTCTGGTTTTTAATGGAGTGGTTCTTTTCCTGGCCACAGAGGAGGGAAGAGGGACCATCAGGTAGACGGAATCAGGGCGTGGATGAGGGAGCCAGAGGGGGCCTCCTCTGGACAGTGCAACGGAACACGCGGATTTCTTAAAGGGCCCCCTTCCCCATGATCAGTAGGGAATGACTGCAAAAACACTTCTCTGTACACAAAAGTTACATGTATAGTGGACTTTCCAGAACACAGTATTCACAGTATAGAAAACAGCAAAATTCACTTTTTTAAGAACATAAAACACAGAGCTTGAAAACATAAATAGAGCAGCTTAGAGGCTGGAGAAGGTCACAGAGCCTTTGAGGTTCAAGGTGGGGTCCTGAGGCATCTGGGCCCCTTGAGATGAAGTCCAGTAGCAGCCTGAGCCTTTTCAAGTCTTTTAGATTCATAGCAGCGACTCCGGGAGGCCTGGGCCAGGCTTGGAGGACAGGAAAGGGAAGAGAACCTTTGAGGAAACAGGTTGTGTGCTCTCTTACTGCTGGAGAAGTAAGGACGGGCACCCTGCAGGAGACTGTCCGAGGACGTCCCAGGCACATGAGCAGTTTCCATATTCCAGTTTCAGTGCCGGGACGGGGATGTGAAGAGTTTCCATCCCTACCGTGGCGAAGGCACCATGCACAGCAATTAAGAGCATGGGTACTGAAAAGAGTGCTCTCTCTATGGGGCTGCAGACACCGGACAGAGAACCTGGACTTGGCCACAGGCCTTCCCTCTACTTCTCTACCTGTTTCCCCTCCACTAGCTTCTTGGTTCCACAGGGCTGAGGACACTGAGCCCTCAATGCCTTTCACATGCCCATTTTCCTCATATCCGGTCCTCCCCAGGACTAAACTGCCAACCATCTCAGCCTTCTGGGCTGGAATGCTGGGCCTAGGAGGCCGGGGAGAAGGCGTCTCCCCTCAGGGTGTTGCCAGGTGCATCTTAGAGCCTGTCCACTGGGGCAATGCCCCCCCTCCTCAGCTGAGCTTTGAGCAGATGCCCAGGGCCTGTCGGTAGACCTCCGTCACCTCCTGACAGTCCCTCAGGGAAAAGCAGCTTTCCCCCAGGGGGTCTTGCCTCCAGCGCCTCAGGCCCCTGCTTCCTGGGCCCTCGGAGGGGGGCTCCTCCAGCCCCGTGAGGTCGTCCACAGACACACAGCCCCGCAGCAGGGGCTCGGGGAGCCGCTCGGGCAGGTCTAGCTGGTCAAAGGACTCGGAGGACAGGATGCTGTCCTCACTCACAGCTCCCGAGGGGCGGCTGGCCCTGGACGGAGGGCGAGGTGAGGCCAGTTCATTCAGGGAGCCGAAGGTGGTGGGGGTGGCGGTGCGGGAGAACTTGCCGTTGTGTTTGAGGATGCCCTTGCGATGGTGGAGCATCCCCGGGGCCTGGGGTGGCTTCTGCTCCACGGAGTCCCTGCTTGTGAACACGTCCCCTGCATCCAAGAGCTCCCCGGAATCACTGGGTTCAGGAGAGGAGTAGTACCCGGATTCCCGCTGCTGGGACTTCTTGAGGATGCCCTTCTTGGGGAGCAGGGGGGCAGCCTGCTCTGGGCCCGTGGGGGACGGGCTGAGCTCAGAGTCCTCCCCCCGACACTCCGAGGAGGCAGCGACCTTCTTCTTGAGAATGCCCTTTGGGAGTTTGAGGTTGCCCTTGCTGGGGCGAGGGGCGGTGTCATCAGCCGGGTCCCCCTGGAGAGACTGGGCCATGTCGTTCTCTTTGCGGGACTTCTTGAGCGAATGCTGGCGCTCCAGGCTGGGGGCCACGCTGCCCCCTCCCGGCGTGTGCTGCTTGAAGAAGCTGCACACCTTGGCCCCGTTCTCCAGGAGGGGGCGGGAGGACCGCCGGAGCCAGTCGGCCACGGACACCCGGCCAGAGTCACTGCCAGGGTGCCCTCTCTCGTGCAGAGCCTCCTGCTGCCCCACACGGGTGGCATAGCCCCAGTTGACCCACCAGTGGTTGGTTACATCCTCCAGCGTGGCCCGGAGGGCGGGGTTCACCATTAACAGCCACCGGATCAGGCCACAGGCGTCTGGAAGACAAAGACAAGGGGCTTCGTATTGGCAGCCATGAGACCGGGCACCCACCGTCCCCTCTCACTGGCTTACCCCTTCTGTGCTAAGACACCAGTCACTCCTTGGTATTGGTAAGTTACGTTTACTCCCACCTGCAGTGCAGTTATTATCAAAGAGGTGCCTTCACCCCAGAGTAGTATTCTTTTACTCATCAAGAAGAGCCCCAGAAGGGCCAAGGGCTACACACACACACACACACACACACACACACACACGCCCAGCCCGGCCACCTCCCAGCCTCTGGCTCTCCTGGATGGACTCTGCCAATTTCCTCTCTCATGCCACGCCCCTCAGGGCTCTGGCCCCTTCAATAGCCTTGTTGTATGTGAGCGTGCATCCTCGTTTCCCCAGAGATGCTACCCTCCGAGGAGGCGGACTGTGCTGAAGGGTAAACCAAGGTTCTTACAATGTAGGTAGAAAGGACAAAAAGATTTCAAAGGATGAGGGCAAAAGCAGTGGAAAGCGAGACAACTATAGCAAAAGGGATCTAGGTTAGACCTTAGGAAGCTCCCCCAAATACAACAAAGCATGTCCATCAGGGCAGGAAGGTCACAGACACTGGAGGCAGAGAGGTAACAGCAGGAGGTGGTGGAGGGTCCTCTCGTCTGTATGGGGTGTCCTCCTCACTCTGCTGCCACTGTTTAACTCCCGCCTCAGGAATTAGCTCAGGACACCAGGGCCTGGATGCGAACACCCATACCTCCCACTCACCTGAGGGTTTAGGTGGCTCCCGGTAGGCCCCGTTGTTGATCTGTTTCACCAGTGTCTTATGGTCCTGCCCGTCAAAGGGCATGGTGCCATGCACCAGGATGTACAGGAGAACACCCAGGGACCAGCTGTCCACCTGAGAGAAGGGGGGAAGTGGGGAGGTCAGCAAGGATGCCGGAGGGCCCCCAGCCCCCCCTGCACACCAGAGAGAGGCCAGTGCCTCTGAGGGCCACCTCCCTCTAGTATCCGGGGGCAAAGGAGTGACGCTGCAGGAGGCTCAGGGGAGAGGTGCTGTCAATCACCTCTCCTTGGCAGGGGCAGCCACAAACACGAGAGCAGTGGCGAGGCCATCCTTCCCGGACAGGAAGGGGTGGCTGGCTGGGTGCTGGGAAAGGTGATGGAAACCAGGAAGGTGAGCAGCACAGAACTAGACTGAAGGTCAAGAGATTTAAGTTCTCGTTCCAGTTTGGCCACTGCTGGCTAAAGACCTGGCAAGTCACTACTTTGGGGGAGGGGGTGTGTGTGAACAGACAATGTTGAATTTTATGTTCTGAGGAGCTAAAGTCACAGGAAATGGCGGAGGGCAGATACCCACCTCTGGGCCCGTGTAGGGCTTCCCGTTGACGATCTCGGGCGAGGCGTAGAGGGGGCTCCCACAGAATGTCTGCAGGAACTTGCCTTGGTGGTAGAGGTTGGAGAGACCAAAGTCAGCAATCTGCAGGGTGGGACAAACATGCAGGGTCACGCCAAGGCCTGGGCGGTCTGCCGCTTTCATGGCCCTCCCAGACACTGGGGAAACCCAGGCCCCAGCAGAAGGAAAGGCTGCCCAGGACCCCCAGCCCACACTGGGCACCGTCAACCCAGCTCAGGCCCTGGAAGAAAGAGCCCGCAGAAGCTGTGTCAATGAGCACTTCGGTAGAGGTGTGGGAGGGTTCCAGGGCCCTCCCTGTTCCCAGACTCCTCTGCTCAAGCTGTATTCCACCCCAGGCATATGCATCCTCCGGATCCAGCAAGCCCACCGCCCCTGGGAAGCCCTCCATTGCCCTGAGATCTTCTCCCACGAAGCCCTACAGTTTCCAACGGCCTGCTGTAGCCGCTGCCTAGCAGTTCTGTCTCTTCATGTTGCCACATCAATGCTCCCCGTGCTGACCTCCTCTGTCTCCATCCCTCCTGCAGCTCCTAGCACAGGTGTGACCCATGAGTGGGTCTCAATGGGAAGGTTGACCAGATGGAGGTGGAGACTCAACAGCTCATGCCAGTGTCCGGCCCTCAGCAGCATGCCACCCCAGCTCTGAGTAAGCACGCAAGGCTGGGCGGCCCTTCCTAGCAAAGGGCTTGTTTATGTCCACACCTGGGCAGGATCATGGGGTCAGCCCGGTATGGCTGAGAAGCAACATCGAGGGCAGAACAAAGATCACGGTCGGAGTGATAGCCCAGGAGAGGGAACCTTCTCACAGGACTCCCTGAGCCATCGGGTACCAAGGCTTTGAGAGGCCCCAAGGCCACCCCTCGTTTCCCAGAAAGACCTCTCCCCACCCACCCTCTCAGACAGAGGCTGAGGTCAGAGCCCTTCTGCTCCTGACCCCTCACCCCCAGCAGAGGGCCATGTGTGTCTAGGGTGGGGAGGGCCTGTTTGTGAAACTCTGGCTCCTTCATTTATGGTTTTATTGGCCTCTTATCGAGCAGTTTCCAGTGAAGCCCATATAAGGCAGGTGATTGGTGCAGATAGAAAGTTAGTGCCAGTCCAGGGTTTATCGGCTCTGCTCCCCTCCCCCATCCCACACATCAAAGCAAGCTCCACCTGCTCCGGGAATTGGCTGGGAAGGGGAATGAAGTCAGCGCCAGGGCACCTCCAAGCACAGGTCATGAGCTACTGGAGAAGGGACTATGTCCTGAGCTCAAGAAGATTCTGAGGAAGTCTGAGTGCAGAGTCAGTGCCCTCCCAGGTGCATGCAGGGGCCGGCCTGACATCTGCCCCTTCCAGCGCTGTGATCTGAGTTTTATCTCATCAGTGTGCCCTTCTCATTCCTAAATTAAACTGCTTACACTCAGGGAACCAGACGCTGCAGGAAGCTGGCGCTGGAAGGCCTGGCCTTTGGGGAAAAGTGCCATAGGGCTACCTAACTGCAGCAGATTAAAGTGGGCATGTGTGTGCGCATGTGCGGGCATGCATGACAGCAGGGGGAAATAAGGCTGTGGTCTGCTCCCTGCCCGTCCCAAGTGACCCAAAACTGCCCCTAGACCTAGACTCCTGTCGGTCTTGTGATGTCGAGAGCACTGGTTGGGGAGTCAGAAGGCCTTGGTTCTAGCCCAGGCTCAGCCTCTCGTTAGCCATAGAACCTTGTGCAAGTCACCCCTTATTTTGAGACCTCGGTTTTCCATCCATAAAACGAACATGTGAGTCGGAGCTTGTTTGACTCCTCCTGGAACCCCCTAAGGGCTTAGGGATACTTGGTGAGGACCGTGCAGAAAGGCTGGGGAGGAGTGGGAGCTGCCGGAAACAAGAAGTGGGCTCACCTTGATGTTGCCATTGGCATCGAGGAGGATGTTCTCCAGCTTGAGATCCCGGTGGACAACCCCATTCTGAAAGAGGGAGGAGGAGGTTCAGGGGGAGGTCAGCAGGGAGGGCAGTGCATGAGGGTCTGGTCTGGAAAGTGAGGCAAACACAAGGAGGGGGGCACAGTAGGCTGGGAATACCCATGGTTATCACAGACCTTCCACCTCTGGCCAAGGGACTCAAAGCCTCGCGTCCCTTAGGCCGAGAGCCCAGAATCGAGTCTTGCCTCTGCTTGGTCTCCCTGTGTGATCCTGGATCAATCTGGAATCTCTCTGGCCCAAACCAGCCCCGGAGCCCAGGGACCATCCCTCAGAGCAGGGCTGGGGGGGTAAGGGCCCACCTGGTGGCAATAGTGCACAGCGGAGACGATCTGCCGGAAGAAGTGACGGGCCTCGCGCTCGCTGAGCCGCTGCCGCTCACTGATGTAGTCATACAGGTCGCCCCGGCTGGCGTACTCCATGACGATCACTATCTTGCTGCTGTTCTCAAACACTGGGCAGAACAAGATGGGACATCAGGACCCTCCCGAGCACACTGCTCCCCCTGGGGGCCACCGGCCTCTCCCTGGCCCTGGACCAGACACCTCCCTCCAGGACCTTCCTCCAGGGATGTCTGATGGGGCAGGAGAGTGGCGAGGAAGAGCAGAAGGGCCTCTGAAGCTCTCCACATCTTCCAGCAGCAGCTCATTAAGGCCAAGGAAACTGGCTCACCCGCCCTCTCCTTGGAAGTTCTGGCTTTTGTGGGTTCTTGAAACCACCTTGCAAGTTCCCAAAGGGCAGAGCCATCGCTGGATGAGAATGGAAAGGCTGTCGGATTCAGAATTCGGTGCTTTTTGCTTTGGGACGTGGGGCAAATCTCTTCTAGACCCATCAGTAAGAATGTCGGTTTGGGGTCTGAATCCTGGCCCCATCACTTACTAGCTGGGTGACCTTGGCAAGCTATTCAACCAGTGTGCCTCAGTTTCCTCATTTGAAGAGGGGGATGATGATGGCAACCGCTGAGGGCTGCGGTGAGAGCTAGATAAAAGCCGGTGACGGTCTGGGGCTGGCTGAGCAAGCTGGCGGAGGGGCTGACATAAACAAGCCCTCAATACGTGCCGCCTACTGTTAGATGTACTAGCAGCGTCCTCCTAGATGTACTATGTATAATAATGCCCACACAACGCCTGCCTTGAGGATCAGAAAAGGGACAGAAGTATATGTAAGTGCTTTGTACACAATAAAGTACAATGGAGAGCTGAGTATTCATCTCCTCCAACACCTTTGACTTCCCACCCAGAGTACTTCCAGGGCCTTAATTGACTGGCTGGGCTCCTGGCAGTCAGCCTGCCCCATCTGGCTCATCAACACGTGTAGGAGGGGCCCTCTTGCCCCCTGAGGACTTGTCCTGGCTCGAGCCCCCTGGAAAGGTAGGGAACGAGCAGGTCACCAAACTGGCCCTTCAGCTGGATTATGTCAGAACACGCATGGCCCTGACATTGCATCTTTGTGTCAAACAGGTCCTAGGAGTTGGGCTTGCTGGGCCAGCCCCGGGCTGCTGCTGTCTAGCAGGTGAGAAGGAGCTGAGGGAGGTGGCTTCTCCCAGGAGGAGTCCCAGCTCCCAGGCACTTGGATACATGGCCGGGAGGACTGAGCTTTTTCCCAGGGGAACATGAGTGAGTGTCCCTGATGGGTGGTGGCCCAGCCTCCTGGGATGTGTCTAGCTGAGCCTCTCCCCCTGTGGTTCTCCATCTCTCTGCGGCCTTTGTGCCATGAAATTGGAGGTCAAGAGCCAGCACATTCTGGACAGCAGCTAGGTCAGTCCCCCCACCACCCAGTTCATACCTCCTTCCTGCAGGCTGTGGCAGGATGGGGATGGATGGGGAGAGCCCTGCCACACACACACAGTAACTATGATGGCCCTGCATCTGCAGAACTGGAAGGTGAAGGGGAAGCCACATCCTGAGCTTCAAAGCTCAGTGCCCAGACCTGGCTGGCGATATGGGTGTGGGACATGCACCCATATGTGTACACACACACACACACACACACAGCGATCACCAAGCTCAGCCAGGCTTAACCAATACTCTGCCATGCCCACTCTTCCCTGGGGGAATACACAGAGACACAATTGGCTTTCTCAGCTACTTGCCTGGGCTCCTGTGGGACAGGCTCAGGCCACAGGGCCATGTGAGTGGCTCTGCCCTTAGCCTTCCTATGATATAACCCAAGAGAGAAGACTTCTCTCCTATTTCCCACCAGGAATATTCAGATAGAGGGAAAGCCATCGTCTCCCTCCCTCTGCTGCTAACTGTAAAGGCTGGAAGCAGACAGATGTGTGTGGGGTGTTCCCCC